ATGTGGAGGGGGCTTAAAATGAAAATTTTAGCCCAACAGGTTCTTAAAACCCAGGTTCTTATACGTGGGCTATTACTGTACCTCTGAATTTCTGTATTTCAGCTCTGTATTTTCATTGGAAAGACCCGTTTCATTTGGTTTCCCACCAGAAAACCCAGTTTTTCCATACAAATGGAAAACGCCCCTATTCTGATCTAAGCTTGCTCAGCCCTAGTCTTACCTTTGCCACTAGGTCGCACTGGAAGTCTTGGCCGTATTGGTCTGGGACGTATCGGGCGACCTGAAGAACACCTTTACATTAGAAATGTGGTATGACAAACATACACGGCGGAACAAACAAGTTAGGCCATTTTGTTTAATTTGGTATGGCTGTCTGGTTTCGAAAATTAAAATAAGACGGAGTGGGAAGAACGAACTTGAAAACGTTAGCCTGATCTTTTTGGAATGAGGCGTTTATGACGCAATCGCGGCCATTAAGGCTTCGTCCACACTACATGGGAGGAGTTTGAAAACGCAGCTTTATTTCCACGGTGTGGCCTACCGTCCAAAGTAATCCGTCACGAAAACGGAGCTTTTCGAAAACGTTCTTCAAATCAGAGGAATTTGAAAACGCCGGTTTTTGGTTTTCGTGTGAGCGTAAAACATTTTGAAAACAGAGCTTTCCGAAAACGATGGCGTCACGGTAATCATGTGATTTTCGTGACCAAGTTTTCCTCAAACACAAATCCAAAATGAACCGCTGATTGTTGCGTTTTAATATTTCTCCGGCGTAGTGTGGACGGAAAACATTTGATGCGTTTTCAGGGTGAAACCTCCCATTTCAAATTTCTCCGGCGAGAAAGGGAATTAAACAACGCGCCTTGGTTGCCAACAAACAGCACGATCACGGTAAAGATAACTGGAACCCATGCACCCTTCTTCACAGTCAAATGGCTGCACAAGCAGCTACCTACATTAATGCATCGTTTTTACTGCTAGGAATAATAGAGAACCTCTTAGTATAGTGTTGTGTAGTTTGTTCACACCCATTTATTGAAGCACTGCTATTTACCTTTGCACACCGTCCGTTTGATTGACCTCACTACACGGTGAAGGTTTCGGAAGCCACTGTTGAACACGTATCTTGGGTTTGCCGTGATCTGGTTAAGTTGAGCTCGTCTGAATTTTCTGCCGATTCCGAGCGCCAAAATACGCACGCCCGCATTTCGGAGAGCACGTGACGATTTCAGGACCGAGTCTTGTGAAATACCATCAGTCATGACAAGCAGTACCTGAAGGAAAGTAAACAAAAAGTTTAAACCTAAACATCAAGGAAAGCACTGACTACACTACCTGGTGTGACAAAAAGCTGATCAAAACTAACAAGTGAAGAAAGCAAAAACTTTCAAAAAAGTTGTTAAACTGATCTCAAAACTAACGATCCAACCGCTACATCTGTGTACATAATATTGAAATAATAGTGGACTTGATGTTGACTGATAATACTCCACTCAAGTTTTTGAATCCTTGTTCCAATTGTTTCATTGAGAGATGGTTGAACAGCCCCCATCAACCAGTTTTCATTGCTTCCGTTTGCTATTGCCATAATCCTACAACTCTATCTTTCATCATCGGACAACGCAAGTGCTAGGAGTCAGAGATTTGCGAGCACACTTTTACATAAGCTTGAGCATTTCCAAGCAGGAACTTTAAAAACATAGTGAGTAAAGCCAAACATTGCACCTTCGCGCGGCGTCTGTTTGGGCGTCCAGATAATGACTGCCAATAGGCTGCAAATCGATTGAGTGGGACACTTTAAAAGAAACCTCCATCCACGCACTTACCTTACGCCGATTAGTCCTTCTTCTAAACAACCGATATCTGGCAAATCTCAGCGCTCGTCCAATTTTCGTGCCACCTCTGGGATATCTAATGCGACTAATCGCACGTAACAAGCTTTGCTTGTTTCTGTGTCCCCTGAAGTTAGCGATGAGCCATGCGCGAGTTGAAAACAGAACGATACCAACACGAGTCTGTGTGGGGGAGATACTGAATGAAGCCACCAATCGTTTGACGAAGTCGAGACAGCGCCCGAAGTTCCCTCGGCCGTAAGCATTGATACTGCCAGAGCCGTCGATCAACAAGGCCAAGTCGAGACGTTTGCGGCACACTATGGCAACAGCAAATAAAGAATAATCAACATAAAGGTCTTGCATTGCTATAGCAAGGAACTAGAACAATCTAGCGTAAGGCGCTTCTTTAGAGGATAATGCCCTCCACAGTACCAAATAACCGATCTTTAAAAAGTCAATTGCAGCAAAAGAAAGTTGAAGAACTTTTTCAGTTAGCAATGAGAGGAAATGAAACAAACAAATAAACAAAGAAGTAAAATAGCTAAAAAATAAAATAATAAAGACGTTTTTCAAGCGTCTTCATCATAACGCCAAGGACAAACCTTTGCCACTTGGTCTTATGTGAGCTCCTGGACGGAATGGCCTGGGACGGAGCGGGTGACCTGAAGCAAACAATTGCGACTGTTAGTTTATTTGCTGATGTGGTTGCGGTTCAGTGTCTCCAGTTAGCAGTTTTGATGCATGAAACCTTTGACATTATTTTAAAAAGGGAAATAAACTGTTTCGGACCAACAATAACCCATCTCTGCAGTTCAGTTCATAATTCAGGCGGGTAGTTCTCTTTCGTTATTTGAAATGAAGCAAAGTTGTTTGTAATCCGTTATTGTTCTAATCATTACTGTTATTTTCTACGTGCCTCTCAAAATATCCTACAAGCAGTAGTTTCTATTACGCATCTCTAGTCAGAAGGCGTATGCGAATGTCTGCGCTCTTAAAATATAAAACCCTTTACTCACTTCGGCATATTTTGCTCGAGATGCGTCGAGCGACTCTATTCAGACTTCTAAAGTTGGCAGTGAATACGTATCGTCCATTTGTAGCTATTTGCTCCAGTTGGCGTCTTCGATATCGCCGACCGATCCCCAAAGCATACACCCACACTCCGCGGCTTCTCAAAGCTAGTGCAGGTCTCCGCACACGGTCTTGCGAGATGCCATCCGTCATGACTACTAGAGCCTTCAAAGAAAATAGATAAATCTGTTATTGAATACGTTTGAGGCCTAGATTGAGTTACTTTTTTGTTTATTAGAGGGGCGAGAAGAATTCAAAGTGACCGGCTCTTGTTTCCATTACCTTCAGTACTCTCCTATTTCTTCTAAACAATCGATGTAGGACAAATTTTAAAGCTTTTCCAATCCTGGTACCTCCGCGTGGGTATCTCATCCTAGCAATGGTATTGAGCACGCCTGCTTTGTTCCTGCTTCGGTAAAAGTCTAGAATCAGCCACGCGCGGGAAGCGAACAATACCACGCCCACACGCGTGCGCTGTGGTGAGACACTGAATGAAGACACCATGGTCTTGACAAATTCAATACAACGCTTGAAGTTACCACGACCGGCTGTTTCGATACTCCCGGATCCGTCAACTAAGAACGCGAGGTCGAGACGTCTATTGCACACTGAAACACAAATAAAAACATTAGTATAGATAAATTAAGAAATGAAAATGATTAGTGTGTACCTGCAAGATACTAAAATAAATACTAAAATTTGAAATATTGTTTTTATTGCTCAACTTGCGCAATTGTATTGTCCACATACCTCGGCCAGTGGGCCTGGGTCCTGGTCTTGGTCTAACTGGAACTGTTAACGGGATAAAAAGGATAAAGATTGCTGAAGTTTCTCATTAGAAACAACTCACAAAGCTTAATGTTCAATTCACATAACGACAATTCAAATGCCATAGTTTCAGCCCAATCTATTAATACTTGCTTTGCGCTTCTAGATTCCAAGTTAGGAGCTTAAGACAGAGAAATATCGTTAAAAGCGCCAACATGCTTACCTCTCCTAAAGCATCTTCGTTTCTTGGAAATGATTTGTCGCAGGGAAAGGGCACCATTGTACACCTGCACACACGAGATTCGTCCCCGGAAATATCTCCCGTCACCAATACGAGCACCCATTCTTACCGGGTAGTTAGTCGCCAACTGTATTCTCCCGATGTATTTCCTCGCTGTAAACCTTCTATTGACAAAGAGCTTCGCTTGGCCTGTTCGTCCGTTGTAACTTGCACCAACAAACTGCCATCGTCNTCCATCTGGCCCAGGTGCGGCACGGACGTAACTAAGTATTCCGCGCGCGCTTCTACTGGAACTTATATCTCTACCCGCCGTGCGTCCATTCAGCGGGAAAATGGCTACAGCTCGAGTTTTAACTAGCGAAAAAGAACAAAATCAATTAAACCAATACGTTGATTCTATTAATTTCATATTCTAATTAGCAACATAACACGTAAAATTTGCGCTGTGCTTTTGTTACGACATCCAAGGTTGATAAAGAAACAGGGATATTGTCTAAGCCGAGATGGAGAAAATTTATAGCTTTCGTTTATTTAGCAAGGATATAAGATTTATGGGCTTCATGAAAAGGAAACAACACGTTGTCAAAGCTATTTCTACTTGAACCCCTACTGCCACAAACAAGGTAAATGAAAATGAAAATGAAACATAAACACGTCACTTACCTCTAGGCCTGTATGGTCTAACTGGTCGCACAGGTCTTCTTTTGGGTCTCACTAAACAGAAAAGCAACAAGAAAACGTCAAAAAACATTTCAAAAGAACGCAGTCAAGAAAATAAAATGAAAATTAGCCGAATAAAATATAGCAAAATGTACAATTACCGTAGGCGACCCGCTGGAATTTAAGAGTTGAAGGAGAACTTTGTAAAAAGTTGACGAGATAACAGTAAAGGCAAAATAAAAAACCATTCTGCACTACAACTGGAGACATCTATTCAGTGCTAAGGGGTTTACTGTTAGTCAGTTAGTAAGTTTTCATTATAAGATTTCAATATTGTTAGTTTTTGTTCTGATTTTTACAGCTTAGTTGTTTTATTAGTTAGTTTATTTTGCTCATGTTTTAGATATTCCTAGTTTTTTTTCCTCAATTAATTTTTATTCACGAGATATTTTTAAAATCATTGTAAAGCGCTATTGGATAATGATAGAAATAGCGCTATATAAGTAAAGTATTCTTATTATTATATTACTGGAACACAACTCCACGGCTAGCGTTTTTTCGAGGCCAGCCCCGCGACTTTAGCCTTTAGCAGCCCACTGGGCAATGTACTTACATCGACATATTTTGCTTGAGATGCGTCGAGCGACCCTATTCAGACTTCTAAAGTTTGCAGTGAACACGAATCGTCCATTTGTAGCTATTTGCTGAAGCTGGCGTCTTCGATATCGCCGACCGATCCCCAAAGTAAATACCCACACTCCCTGGCCTCTCAAAGCTAGTGCAGGTCTCCGCACACGGTCTTGCGAGATGCCATCCGTCATGACTACTAGAGCCTGAAAAAAGGAGAAAATACAGATTGGTCCAATAAAAGTGTGCGCAAAAGATTCACGGTTCGTAATGAAATAAAACGAACGATCGTGTTTTATAATACGTTACGGCTCGCATACGCTCAATTTCCTTCTGCTGATTAACTTCTTATGAGAGGTACTTACCATTTGTAGAAATGAAACAATACTAAGTTAGAGTCATATTAATTAAACGTTTCTTCGAAATCAGCCAATCAGCTGTCAGATATGATTATTATAACATGTTTGACAACAAAGTAAGCGCGAAAATAAGGGACAAGTGCAAATTCTTTGACAAAAAGAGAACTTCTGAGATAAGGTGCTACAAAAATTGTGCAAAAGAAATTACGAAAAGTCGCGGATTAATTTCATTTCCGTTAAAGATTGTGCCACTTGACAGCGCATTTTAAGATACTGTAAGAAGAAATTACACAATGATCATAGTTATCCGTTTTTCCCATTACCTTGAGCGCTCTCCTGCTTCGTCTAAACAATCGATGTCGCACGAAGTTCAAGGCTCTTCCAATCTTGGTACCTCCGCGTGGGTATCTCATGCTATCAATGCGCCGGAGCACGGTAGCCTTGCTTCTGCTTTGGTGAAAGTCCAGTATCAACCAGGTGCGGGAAGAGAACAATGCCACACCCACACGCGTGCGCTGTGGTGACACACTGAATGAAGACACCATGGTCTTGACAAATTCAATACAACGTCGGAAGTTACCGCGACCGGCTGCTTCGATACTTCCTGATCCGTCAATCAGGAACACAAGGTCAAGACGCTTCGTGCAAACTAAAACAAAAATAAAAGGAAAGTTATTACCAAAGATGGGAAACTTGTCTGAACTTTTCTCGTCAAATCAATTTTTCAATAGTATATGCTAGCAACTACGTAATGGAAACAATAATTAGTGCACGCCTGAAATATAACGTTATATCAAGCAAAAGAGACTTTTGAAATAGTAACAGGGCAAAGATTCAAACTTGTATACTTATTGTAATAACATACCTCGGCCAGCAGGCCTGGGTCTTGGTCTTGGTCTAACTGGAACTAATGGAATAAAATGTTTAAAAAATACAAGAGTGCTTTTAAAAAAATAGAATGTTTAGAAAGGATTGGCGAAGTTATTACAAAGCGAATTATCTGCTTTGAGTAGTGTTACACTAGGACTTGGCTTTCTTATTATTAATTGATAGTTCTATGTTATTTCAAGCAAGCAACTTGTAATTGAGAAAAATCCCTGAAGGCATAACATAACTCCTATTTAACGTTCTGTCGCACATCAAAACGGAAGGTATACTTTTAATTTGGATTTCCAAGATTTACTGCAATTACGATTCTGAGATTATTTTGATGGTAGATCAACCAGACATTGCCCAACCTAATGATTTTCTTTCTATACCTCTCCTCTCTGTTTGTCAATGCAAAGACCACGAAAAATCATGACGGCAAACTCAATTGTCCTCTCCTACTAAAAGCGGGACATGTAACTATATAATCTCAGCTTACCTCTTCTAAAACATCTTCGTTTCTTGGATATGATTTGTCGCAGGGAAAGAGCACCATTGTACACCTGCATACACGAGATTCGTCCTCGGAAATATCTCCCGTCACCGATACGAGCTCCCATTCTCACCGGGTAGTTAGTCGCCAACCGTATTCTCCCGATGTATTTCCTCGCTGTGAATCTTCTATTGACAAAGAGCTTCGCTTGGCCTGTTCGTCCATTGTAACTTGCACCAACAAACTGCCATCGTCCAGGTGTGATACTCCTGCTTACGACCGCGGTTGTGAAACGCCGTCCTCTTCGACGCGTAAACCGCACAAACAGCGTTGTCGGAGTAATCATCCAAAAGTGCACGCCCCAGCCGTTTGGCATGTAGTTGAAGATGGGTCCTGCACGTCCTTGGTGGAAGATCCACGCTAGGAGAGTGATAGAACGTTTGGTATCTAGGCCACCTCGGTTGGGGAAGAGAATGTAGCTGTTGCTTCTTCCGTAGAACTGGTACGAGCCGTCACGTGTTCCGTCTGGTCCAGGCGCGGGGCGGACGTAACTGAGTACTCCGCGTACGTTTCTGTTGGAACTTATATCTTTTCCCTTTGTGCCTCCATTAAGCGGGAAAATAGCCACAGCTCGAGTTTTCACTAGACGGAAAGAATTATATAATCAATTTATCGTAAAAGAGAAATTTATGAACTGAAGTAAATGGGAATCATTTAATTGGCCTCAGAATTTGGGTAAAGTCTTAAAACGAATCAAGAAGAAAGACCTCAAACAAAGTTAATAAAAACATCAGAAATAGTTATATAAAAAAGGTCACTAACCTCTAGGCCTAACTGGTCTAACTGGCCTCACAGGCTTTGGCTTGGGTCTCACTCGACCTAAACAGAGAGTTTGAAACTTTCATAAGCATTAAAAGATAGAGCAATAGCAATGAAAAAATGTGCATGGACTGCAGGAATAATCCAACAAGAACTGAACAAAGGTTCGCGCAGTATGCTTCTTTCAGGCTAGCAAACTTGCGCGTTCACCGACCAGTCAGGCAAAAAACGTCTAATAATTTTATTTTACAAAAGGAAACATGACGTGGTGCAATACGAGTATGATGTGGAACTACTGGCCTTTTATCAACTTTAGGTCGATTAAGGTAAATTAATCGCTCTTGTCGGTTAACGAGGTTGATGTTTTGACCGTTAGCCCTTCGTCGGAGCACAGCGGGGACTGGTGGGTTGTATGTGTGTTGGTAGAGTGGAGTAGAGGGTCAAGCTTTTGGAGGAAGTATGACAACAGAAAATACATGAATGAATTAGTTAACTATATGACACACGTTCATTGATAAGAACCATGAATGAATGAATGCATAAATGGATGAATGAATGAATAAATGAATGAAATCTTTATTTGCTATTGAGAAACGTCAGACATGAGCAGCAGACGTGAGTCTTCACAATCAAATCCTGAATGAAAATAAGATGTGTACAATTTAAAATCTACAGAGGTTTAAAAGCAAACCTGTTCATAAACAAGCTTTTGCATCTCTCAGTTCTTATCTGGGGGAGTTGGAATTCATCCCCTTTTTTCTTAGTATTCTTGAGGAGCCAAGGTACTGAATTGAAAAATAGGTGAAACCATACAGCTTACTTAAAATAATTCCCACAAAATCTAACAACCTACCTTTCACAACTATAATATAGACATTATTCGCCCAGGGACCGCCTTTGCCTCCTCGGCACCGCTTGGAAGGACCATATTTCTTGTACGTAATTTTAGCTCTGGGACCCATAAAGCACTCGCCACCATTTTGCACCGCAAATAGCCTGTAGCCTCGTTTTCGGGCCTGTCGCGCGCAATCTCGGACGGCAAACTTCAATCCCCGTAAGTTGGCGACCATGCTACCGGCAGCACGTCTAGGCTTGTCTTTGAAGCAGCCGATACTTCGGATGTAAACATTGGTCCAACCACGAGCTGTAATGAAAACGTATTTTATGGAAGTTAAAGTTGTAACTTTTGGAATGTTAGAATCATGGCAAAGTTGAGTGTTAAGAGATAATTTCATCAGCAGTGCAAAATAAAGGTGCTCCTCTCACTTGAGAGGTTAAATGTAATTTCCAACAATTAAGCTCACTGTTCCAGCAAAGATGGCGACTTGTCTGCGACAGTTGACTAAGCTTTCTATTTTGGTTGCTAAACAACAAGACGTTATACTTCTTCGGCTGAAGTAATTAACTTTGTGTGTACACACACGTGTTAACATTTACACAAAGTCATTCCAATGCGATAGCTTAGACTTTTGTTATGCTACAGTCACCTCGACTGGGATTCACGTTAATATTCATTATTATGCATTTATTCATTCCTCGTTCATTCCTCGTTCATTCCACGTTCACATTAATAGTAATAGGCACACATTTTATTCGAATACTGTTTAGAATGGTAGGATAAATTTTATCCCCTTGGCATTTTGTCAGTAAAAAAAAAAAAAGGAAAATCTACACATTGCCTGTATTTACGTGTTATTATCAAGCGAGAAATGTGCATATTTGTTTCTTGTTTCAACCAGCCTTATCGCAAGGTGCCATTACATTTGTTTTTTTGTTTTTTTGTTTGTTTCTTTTTTTGTCTTTTTTTTCGCAAAAAGCGAGCGAGGGGCACGATGAGAGGAATGCAAAACGGGAAGCATCAATCTCAAAAAGTCAAGCGCAACCCTCACGCACAAACAGCCACACTTTGGAGCAAAGCACGCTGTTTACGCATCATTTTGGGCTGCTTGAATTGTTTGTGACCTTTACTGCGATTATAAACACAATTCAACGTAAGACATACGTTGTCCAAACTTGTACACGTCCATTGCCCACGGGCCTCCTCTGCCTCGCCTGCAACGATTGGTGGGTCCGTAACGGTTGTATGTTCGATGAGCCGAGCGGCCAGAGTAACATTCTCCACCATTCTCTACTGCAAATACTTTGAAACGACGTCTCAAGGCTGCTGCAGCGCATGCGCTCACTGGGTCTTTTCGTCTGTGGAAGTTTCCAAGTCTGTACCTTATGGCTCGTCTTCTTTTGTCATTGTAACAGCCTTCCCAGAAGTATGTAGCTTGACCAGGACGTGGAGGCTTGGGACTAGGGCGAGGCTTTGGTTTAACACCTTGGAGAAATGAAGTCATAACTTTTAAATACAACTGACAGAAGGGAACAGGATTAACTCGACTGTTCTCTAATGGAACAAAATCATTACCGTGTGTAGAAGACCCTATCTTATCCGTGGTTGGAACCATTACAACTGCCACGTGGATGAAACTCTATTTAATATGATGTGTAGGATGAAACCCTACTGTGTGACCATTCCAATAAAAGCTGTTGAGTAGTACTTTCATGAGGCGTTACTGTTTATCATGCTGGTGGCCTTAAAACTTTGAAGAGTGACCGTTTAAATTAAAGCTATTTATCAGAACTTTGTTGTTGTGCCGTTCGTTAATTAACATCTTACTGTACCAAACAGATTTTCCTTTCTTTTTTCTTAATTTTAAATTTAGCAATCTTGGGATTAAAATGCCTGAATTTCACATTCTTCCTTTTACTAACCTGTCGCACCACATGCTTTCCTTTTAATAACCCTGACAACAGAATTCAGATTTCTAAATCGTGCTGTGAACACCAGTCGACGATTGGAAGCCATCTGCCTCAACTGCCTTATATTGTACCGCAATCCCAAGCCAAGCGTAATGATTTCCACTCCTGCCTTGCGCATGCTTCGTGCAGGACCCACCACACTGTCGTACGATCGTCCGTCTGTCATGATAATACACACCTTTCGTCTTCTACTTCGACGGAAGAGATAGCGGTACGCATAATTGATGGCCCGTCCCGTCATGGTGCCTCCTTTAGGATAGCTTATACGCCTTACTGCGCGCAGGACTTGGTTCTTGTTACCGTACCGATTGAAACCAAATACTTTGAAGGCTCTCGTGTTATAAAGGACGGCACCGACTCGCGTGAAGCGACGCGAGATGACAAAGGTACGAACCATGTTCCTAATGAATTGAAGGCAGCGTTTGAAGTTGGACAGACCAACGCTTCCTGAGCCATCGATGATGAAACCAAGGTCGAGTCGTGTTTTGCAAACTGAAACAATTCCAAGGGTAAAGAAGTTGAAAGTACTGTGAATCAGTACTTGTTTTAAGGAATGACAAGAAATGTGGCATTAGTTCATTTTAAAGTAATTAAGTAAATCGAAATTTCTTTATGTGGAGATCACTGAGAAATTAATTATTTCAAACCCTTAAACAGTGAACTGCGAAGAAGACTGTAGGAAAAGGTAACTTTATGGACACAAGAGGCGCGCTCTAAACGACAACAGAGAGCAACGGATCCAGTGCCTTGCTGGCTGAGTTACAGTTTGTTGAAAAAAAAAAAAAAACAGGCGCCATGAAAAGTCTTAATTAGTTGCCTCCCGATACTCACCTCTTCCACCAGGTCCCGGCCTCGGAATAGGAACAGGCATCGGACCTACAACAAGAAAACGCCAGTTGTTAATTAATTAAAACAACAACAAAAAAAGAAGTTAGGTTTCCTTTCATGATGACAGCCACATTAGATCAACAGGGAAAAGAGGATGATGTGAAACATCGGTTGTTCTTTGGACTTCATCCTCTTTTCAACACGTTCAGGAGATGTGATTCCAAGGCGAGAGTAGACCGTCTTGATATAGAGACAGAGACTAGCAAGGTTCGAAGAAAAATGACAATAGACCTGAGATGTTGGACTTCGTTTCAAGATGGCGGCCATATTACACTAACATGGCCGATGTTTCTCATCATACTATCTTCCACTCGTTAAAGAGATGTGATTCTAACATCGAGGGATACAGTTTTCAGTGACAGTTTTATATCTTGATATTCATACAAAAACTACCAAGCTACTAATAAAAGAGTTATAAGACCAGAATAGTTGAACTTCGTTTTAAGATGGCGGCCATATTACACTAATATGGCCGTTGTTTGACATCATCTTCTTTTTAACCCGTGAAAAAGATGGGAGCCTAATGTCGAGAGATTAAGTTCCAGGCAAAAGTGGACTGTCTTGATGTAAAGAGAAAAACTAGCAAGGTACTAACAAAAACGTTATTAGACCTGACATGTTAGACTTCGTTTCGAGATGGCGGCCATATCAGACTGACATGGCCGATGTTTGACATCATTCTCTTTTTCACCCGTTGAAGAGATGGGATTCTACTATCGAGAGATGAAGTTTTACGTCTTGATGGAAAGACAAAAACTGGCAAGGTATTAGGAAAAACGTTGCTAGACCTGAGATGTTGGACTACGTTTTAAGATTGCGGCCATATTGGAGTAACTTGGCACATGTTTGACATCATTATCTTTTTCGCCCGTTTTGTGTGACATATTTATATTTATATTTTGATATCCACACAAAAATTACCAAGCTACTACATAAAAAGTTATTTGACCAGAAAATTTACACTTCGTTTCAAGATGACGGCCATATTAGACTAACTTGGCCGTTGTTTGGACTTCATCCTATTTTTAACACGTGAAAGAGATGGGATTCTAATATCAAGAGATAAAATTCCAGGTGACAGTAGACTGTCTTCAGTTAATGTAAAGACAAAAACTACCAAACTACTAAGACAAATGTTATTAGATTTGAGAAGTTAGGTTTCGTTTCATAATGATGGTCATATGAGATCAACATTGAAAAGAGGATGATGTAAAACATCGGCCGTTGTTTGGACAATATCCTCTTTTCAACCCGTTGAAGAGAAGGGATTCTAATATCAATAGATGAAGTTCCAGGCGAAAGTACATTATCTCGATATAGAGATGAAGACGAGTAAAGTTCTAAGAAAAACAATAGACCTGAGATGTTGGGCTTTGTTTCAAGATGGCGGCCACATTAGATTAACATGGCGAAAGCTTCACATCATTCTCTTTTCCACCCGTTGAAATGATGATCTTCCTTTTAACCCGTGAAAGAGATGAGATTCTAACACTAACAGATAAATTCCAGGCAACAGTGGACTGTCTTGATGTAAAGACAAAAACTACCGAACTACTAAGACAAATGTTATTAGACCTGAGATGTCAGGTTTCGTTTCATCGTGAGATAAAGTTATAGGTGACAGTTTCATATCTTGATATTGAAACAAAAAACTTCCAAGGTACTACATAAAACGTTATTAGACCAGAAAAGTTGCACTTCGTTTCACAATGGCGGCCACATTAGACTTACATGGCTGCTGTTTCACATCATCTCCTTTTCAACCCATAAAGAGATGGGTTTCTAACATCGAGAGATAAAGTTGTAGGCGACAGTAGACTGTCTTGATGTAAAGAAAAAAAATAGCAAGGTACTACGAAGAACGCTCTTAGACCACAAACGTTACACCTCGTTTCAAGATTGTCGCCATATTAGATTAACATGGCGGATGTTTGATATGATTCTCTTTTTCACCCGTTGAAGAGATGGAATTCTACCATCGAGAAATGAAGTTTTACGTTACAGTTTTATATCTTGATATCCACACAAAAAGTACCAAGGTACTAAATAAAAATGTTTTAGACCAGAAAAGCTGCACTTCGTTTTAAAATGGCGGCAATATTAGGCTCACATGACTGTTGTTTGACTTAATCCTCTTTTCAACCCGTAAAAGAGATCGGATTACAATATCGAGAAATAAAGTTGCAGGCGAGAGTAGACTATATTAATGTCAAGGCAACAACTGGCAAGGTACTTGGAAAAAAGTTATTAGACCTAAGATATTGGTCTTTGTTTCAAGATGAGGGTCATATTAGAATAACATGGCGGAACATGTTTGACATCATTCTCTTTTTGACCCGTTGAAGAAATGGGATTCTACCATCGAGAGATGAAGTTTTACGTTACAGTTTTACATCTTGATATCCACACAAAAACCACTAAGCTACTACATAAAAAGTTATTAGACCAGAAAATTTACACTTTGTTTCAAAATGACGGCCATATTAGACCAACATGGCCGTTGTTTGGACTATCAAGAGATGAAGTTCCAGGTAAGGGTAGACCGTCACGATATAGAGACAAAGACTAGCAAAGTTCTAAGACTAGGGGCATGGATCGCGGGCGCGTACGCCCAACGACGACGACGACGTCGCGCAACACGGCGGCCATACTCCAGCTAATACCAAGTCTTGGTTTACAGCGTACGCCTTTGATATTTGACATCCATGTTAGGTTGAATAGACATCTGTCAAAACAAGGTATCCGCTAACCAGTATCATGTGATTTTAATGCGGGCTCAGGTTTATAGCTCATCGAGGTCATGCGTTTTTTTTAAATTTGACCGCTGGCTAAGTACTTGTTTTGGATTGGATTCCAGGCTCTTGTCAGGTTAATTTGTTGTAATTAGGGCCGTGTTGTTCGGAAATTGGGTTAACCCAGGATTAAAAGTTAACCGAAGTATAAATTTAAAGTGCATACAAGTGTTTTTCACTACTTTAGGATCAGGGCTTGAGATTATTCAAAATCAAAACAGAAGGCCAAAAATATAAACAGAAAACCTTACCGTTAAGTCACAAAACACAAATCAAAATTATCGCTTATCCAGGGTTAGCTTAATCGGGTTTTTAACAAAGCGGCCAAGGAGCGTCGCTTTTAGGCTTGGCTAAATCTATATATTATTTTTTTGGATGAAAGTGAAATTTCCTGAAAATAATTTTTTTTGTGCTATTGCTTGATAACAGCGCGCCTAAGGCTCACATTTACCTCTTCTGAAGCAAGCCTTCATTCGTCGACGGATCATGTTGGTGGTCAAAGCAGCGCTGTAAAACTGCAAGCAGGCAATTCGTCCACGGAAGTAGCGACGGTCACCCTGGCGTGCTCCAACTCTAATCTCGTAATTTGTAGCCAATGAAATCTTTCCAATCTTGCGGCGCGCCACCATCTTGCCGTTAATATAAAGTTTGGCAACACCAGTGTTTTTATTGTATGATGTTCCCACGAACTGCCATGTATGCGGTTTGACGCCTCGGTACGCCAAAGCGTGGGTGAAACGGCGTCCAATACGCTGCGTGTAGCGCACAAACAGTGTCTTCGGGTTGACCATCCAGAAGTGGACTCCCCAGCCGTTGCGTTTGTAGTTCACGATGGGTCCAGCGTGTCCTTGGTGATAGATCCAAGCTAAGATTGTCACGCAGCTCCGCACATCCAGTGTCCCCCGGTTAGGGATCTCAACGTAGCTGCTTGGTCGTCCACGGAAGTAGTATGAACCGTATGGTAGACCGTCAGGACCCGGGGTATACACGACGTTCGAGTAACGTGCCGGCGGACTCCTGTTGCGAAGTTCCCTTCCTCTGGAAGCTTTACTGAAGGGGAAGATAGCGACAGCTGACATGGCGTCTGTAAACAAGACAAAAACAAAGTTAAATCTTTGAAATTAATTAATGTTTGCAAAGAAACTGTATTGAGTTTGGACGGGTTTGTTTCAACACTTATTTCATTTTCAACTGGCGTCAATAAGGCTAGTCCTTGCCCCAGCTGATCAAAAAAGAAATCTTTATCCAGTAGACGAATTGCTATCCAGAGGAGGACAATCATCTGATATGTGCAACCGATGCATTTTATCTCTTCGATAGAGATTTATCCATCGCATATGTCTCCTCTTCTAGTGCCTCACTCACAGTGGTGTATAAAAACACGGACAGAGGTAGGAATGGAAAGAGCAACCTTATCACAGTTTAAGTAATATCAGAAGACATATCCAGAATAAGTACTTTAGCATCTCACATAGAAACAAAATAAAATTGATGCACTTACGTGGTTTTGTTGGTCTTTTGGTAATACCTGAAACAAAGGCAAGAACTCTTAACTGAAATTGCAATGAGGCAATACTTGCGATTTTCCATTTACATTCTGTTTATCTTTAGTTAGCACGTACGTATTTTGAACGAGCTTTTGACTCATAGACGTTAGGTGGCTACATAAAGGATTAATTGATTATGCTCATGTCCTACAATCCGATATGAAGAAAACTGGACTGGGACAGGTTTTGATTATTAACTGAGAATTTACTTAACAGGCAGGTAAAATAGACTCTTTTTGCTAAAAAGAACTTTTTCATTACATTGGAACATTATTATACTTACCTTTGCAAGCCTTTTGCTTAATCGCTCTCACGAACGAACCCAGGTTTCTGAAGTCCGCTGTGAAAATATGCCGTCGATTGCTTGCAATCTGAATGAGTTGTTTCATGCTTATTCGTTTGCCAACACCCACGGCGAAAACCTGCACACCCATATTGCGTAACACTGCAGCTGGCTTTCGAACTCGGTCGTATGACTTCCCGTCTGTCAACAGGATCAAGACCTTTCGCCGGTTACTCCTTGCAAACAGGTACCTCCTGGAGTAAGAAAGAGCCCGACCTGTCTTGGTTCCCCCGCCAATGTACTTGACTCTATCGATGGCTCGGAGTACGCCGCGCAGACTTTTGTATTGACTGAAGGAGAACACTGGGACGACACGATGAGAGTACACCAAGATTCCCACTCTGGAATTTCGAGGAGATAGCACAAACGAACTGACCAGATTCTTGATGAAGTTCAGGCTTCTGATGAAGTTGGCACGACCAACACTTCCTGAGCTGTCCACAATAAATCCCAGGTCCACACGGACCGTGCAGACTGTAAAACGTAAGTGAAACAAGAATTAAAAGGTTTTGCAATCTTATTCTAACGACGTGTAACCAATGGTGAAAAGCTCAAGTTAGGTTTGAAGCTGTTGCACTCCGTCTCACCTGGCAATGCTGGTCGTGGTCGAGGTCTGGGGCGAGGAGGTGGACGAGGGATAGGCTCTACAATGGTAACCAAACAAGATTTACATTCTAATAGCAATGCAAGCTTCTGTAGTTAACATAAAGTTTTCACTTCAATTTCGACATCGCTGAGCGCAAAGATAGAGAAAGAAAAGTCGTCCTTACAGCCAATCAGTACCAAAGAACGAACAGCAGTTTTTCTGTTCAGATCCATAACCATCTATGCTTTTCTCTTTGCTCACCTTCCACTGTCTCCAAGTATGGAGCAGTTTTCAATTGAATGTCGTAAAACCAAACCCAAACCAATTACTTACCATTAAGACAAAGCCAGTCTCAAACCATAATAAAACCAAACCAAAGTAATTGCCTGATTGCTTTCAACACTCGATTAAAATCCGCTCTATTTAAATTGGTCGTTAAGATGATTTGTTGCAACAGAAGGATCGATACTAGGACACCAATACTTGCTTTTAGGAAAAAAAGGTTGAATGAATTCAAACTTCTCGACCGTTTAAAATGGAAGAACAACATCGTACAGCCCATGAGTACAACCAAGGTTTCTGTTCAGGTTAATAAATATCCAAGTTTTGCTTGCCTTTCTCTTTAGCAGACCTCCACAAGATAGTCGTTCTTACAACAAAACAGATCAATACTACGACACTAATACATTCTTTCAAAAAAAAAGTTGGATTAATGCAAGCTACTTGACCATTTCAAACACCTGATTAACTTACTTCTTCTGATAATGATATAAACGTCATTAGCCCAAGGTCCTCCCCTCCCATTCTTGCATCTGTTTGTGCGGCCATATCTTCTGAAGGTGCGATGCGCCAGCGGTCCAGAGAAGCATTCGCCTCCATCCTGGACACCAAATGCTCGGTACCCTCTTCTGGTCGCCAAGAGGAAACAACGCATGACAGCGTCTCTCCTTCTTCGTAGATTGCCGAGAAGCCTGCCCATGGCTCGGCGGGATGTGTCTCTGTAGCAACCCCTGCGTTTGAACAGTCTTCCTGTTGGGCGCGGAGGTGGGCGGGGCTTGGGAAGTCCTGGGAAAGTTTGATTGATAGATACTTGATTAATTCACGTCCACTAAGTAGTTGTTAGATTTCATCTTCTAATACGAGGCACCTCTATTAACCTTTTAACATTTATTTTGTTGGCTAAGTGTCATTCTTGCATCAAAGCTCATATTCTCTACAACAGTGACTGAATATTACAGAAATTGGTAAAAACGGTACACGCTCTCTCGTTGTATTCTTTAAACCAGATATACTCTAACACCCATAGAGACCGTCTGCGAGTTGTCTTTTGACTCCATCTCAAAATGACACGCTGAGGTCATCTCAGTGTTAAATCTTTCAACGGAAAAATAATTTCCTCACCTTCTGCAAATGTTAAGCTGATAGAGTTTCAGTTTAAATTCTTACATAGACGTGTACCAACCAATAACTTTTTATTTAGAATAGGTCTACAGGGCGATGAAAAGTGCAGT